GCTGGAGAGCTGAAGACTGCTAGGCAGAGGTGCTTAGACTCCAATCTGCACAGCTGGGCAGGTTGCGTCCACTGGGCAGGATGATGGTGATGATGTGGCTCTGGAAGACTTCCTTGTTGCCTCCTCACACTTTGTTTTTTCTGGGCCCCACTCTTTACCCTGTTCTTAAAATAATACATTTTTCTGGTCTGGCCTAGATTTTTAAAAAGTTGCAGGAATACCCAGAAACCAGCAAAATCTGGTTCTCCCTAGCTTCTTAGAGGTACCTGGCCATAACTGTGGAGAAATGTATTTGGGACTGAGGAGTCATCTGTCATGTGCACGGAGCACTGTAGCTATGGTTTGGGAGCAGTAGTATTTCCATAAACATTGTCCTTTCACTATGCATTGTTTCCCACTGACCTCACCAGTCATGAACTAGGAGGCTTCCATTAAATTCTTTTATCTAGACCCAGAAAGAATGAGGGGTTTCTGAGGTTTCTGGTCTCCTAACAAACCCACGTGTCAGATAAGCTCACTCGTCGCATAGACACACATGCAGGGTGATGGACTCGTTCATTACGGCCTTTCTTTGGGTGTGTGCACACAAATAAGTTTGCTTTTTTCCTGCTTTCTTTCCTTTTGAATCAGAGGTTAAATTGGTCGGTCGGTTGGTTGGTTGCTGTGTCATCTGGGCCTTGCATATGTAAGCTTTCACTTTGGGGACAGTGGGTCAGTCTAGCTTAAAAGGAGGAGTATTTACCATGGATTTCTTAGAGCCTATCCAGAAGACAGAGAGAGAAAGTATCAGCGACCTGGAGAAATGGGCTCCTCCTCCCTTTTACAAGGCTTAATGGGAAGTGTCCTGTCACTTCATCAGGGTACCAGGCTCTTCCTGCCCGACTGTCACTGATAGATGGCCAGAGTTTAGCATGCTTCTTCAAGTTCTTAAGATAGCTGATGGATTTTTAAAAGTTTAATAAGGTCTAATTTACATACCTTTTCTGATTACATGAAATACATGGTATGTAAGAGATTGACTTTCAACACTTGACTCTTCTCCCTTCCCACGTGAAAGGTTAGCCCAGCAGTAATAAAATTCTAGGCAATGAAGTAGATCACACAAGGCCTACTAAGTGAATGTCACACTCCTTAGCTGAAGGGACCAGATGTGGATGTGCTGATGATCTCTGAGTGCACCCTGGGCTTTTTGCCTTCAGGCCTTTGCTTACTCCATTTCCCCCTAGCCAGAAGAATCTCTCCTTACCTCTACTTTTGGAAATCCCGATCCTTCTTTGAGATCAAATTGAAAAATGCAAATCTTCTTGGAATTTCCCAAAACCAGATGTGATCTTACTCCCTGTGAGTGCTTTTAGGCCTTTGTTCAACCTCCTTTTATGTCTCTTGCTATGGCACTGTGCTTACGGTAACCACTGGCAGGCAGCAAGCTCCACAAGGCCAAGGGCTTACTTACTCTGCTTTTGTATTTCCCATATATCTAACACAGAAAGATGACTCAGTAAATATTGAAAAAATGGAACAGTGGCATTTTCTAGACATTCCCAAATTGAGAATTAGTGCTTTTTAAAGTACACATGACTATGACTAAAACCTTATGAAATTTTCTGAGATTTAAAAGCCCTAGTCTGAGAGTTGCCTACCATGCAACTCTGCATGAGGCCCTGTGCATATCTGGGCCTGGCTTTCATTATCTTTGAGGAATTTTTCTAGCTCTTGGTATAATAGGCAAAGAGACAGAATGGATTTAGAGAAAATCCACAGCATGGGTTTGGAAAACAGATCAAAATCCCGACAAAGGAAGGAAATGTGAAGGAATTGGACATGTTTAGCCTGATAGAGAAGACCTAGGAAAGGCCCAGACTCAGTAAATGCTACAGCTGGCAAGAAACTTGGAGAATAGCTAAAGAATTTTCTTTATTAGGTAGGAAGTTGGACAGAGTGACCTCTGAGGATCCAGTTTTCTGCAGAGTTCTTTGCTATTTGAAGTTCTGCTTGACGGAAAAGGAAATTCTTAATTCAGCTTTTTCATTCACAACTGAAAATATTATTGTTCAGAATTTCAAATTCAGACGTTATGTTTCTATATCTCTAACAAAGTCATGGCTAAAAAAAGCATTGTCTATTCTGTTGTTCAATATTCCTTATTCATTCATCATTCGTGAATTCATTAAACAAAATACAGATGGATGCAGGTACCACTTTTTATGGGGAAATTGGAATTATACAACTTCTCTTTTTATTTTTTGCCTTGTTTGCCAGGATCTTAAAGCCAAGCATGGACCTCTTCTGAGCTAAATGACTCAAGCCAGTGCCTAGTATATTTGTTTCCCCACTTTCTTTTTAGTTGACATATATTTTTTGAAAATCGTAAAAGGACCACATGCTGTGGTTAAAAAACAAACCAAACAGTACAGTTCCCAACAAGTACTGGCATTCTTGTTGAAAAATTTGATCTCTTTATTTTGTTTTTACTTAGCTTATGCGGTGTGTGTTTTAATGTTGTAAGGTACCTTATATTCATCTTGGAACTATACTGCTATATTAACTTTATTTAAACCTCTGATGCTTAAAAATTACAAGTAATTGGATTCCTGGCATCCAGAAAATGTGTTTACATTAACTTTATCATATGTTCTTCAGCTGGTTACTGTGGTTGCCAAAGGTCAGGGATGGTTCTGGGAGATGCAAAAATATATATTGTGTTTTAAACTTGTAACCAGTGAACTCTGCATTCTCATCTTCTCCATACTCTCCTACTCCCTTTTGATACCTTCCATCTTTCTCAGGCTAATCTATGCTTAATCCAAGTTCTGTTCTCAAAGTTTGAAGCTCATGATGGCATTGTTTCTCATCGTCACTTAGAATAAAGTTGCCTTACACACTGATCTTCATAGAAATGGCTGACAGATGCTTTACTGTAGCACAAATGCAATTTGGGCAGTGTTGAATGCATTCCAATTTGAATCTTGCATGCATCCTGTGAAGCACTTCCCCTCCTTATCTATTGACCTCTGCTTCTGTTCTTCAGTAAGTGTGTACACTGAGGGAAATAAAGGGATTTTTGGTAAAAGTTTGGGTATGTTCATTTTCAAATCATTTGACATTTGTTTGCTTTTCTCTGGCAAAGTCTTTCTACGTAGTTCAGGCAGGCCTCAAACTTGCAATTCTTCTGACTCAGCCTCCTGAGTGCTGGAATTACAGGTGTGCCCACCACACCCAGCTCTGACACTGAGTTTTAAGGGCTCTGTCTCAAGAATTTGAAAAAGTAGGTGGGTGTACTACTCTGGGACTTTATTTTCTTTTGTTTGGGCTGGCACGTGGGAACATAGTATATTGGATGTGGAACTTCCAGCTGAGGTGCAGACCACCGGATTGCAAGTACCCGTGGAGGTGTAGGAACTGGGCTCTGAGCCGTGTGTGCAAAAGTACGAACACACTTGCATTAGAAGAGATGAGGGAGATGGGTAGAGCCTAGATTACAGGAAGAAAGGAAAATACAACTTCCCATGGAACTCCTCCAATTGTCACGATTCCCTCTGCGAAGTAGTTCCACTGGATAAGAAACATAGAGGTTATCCCAGGTGAGTTAGTTCTTGGAAGTAAGTTGGTGTCAAGTACCAGACCAGTCTCCCAAGGACTGGGATCAGGATTGAACTTGGAGCTTGCTTTACATTTGCCTCCACATCTCCCCTTCTCATTGTCCCTTTACATATGAGGTCAGATTAATGTTTCCAAGGCTTTTTTGCTGTGTTACTTCCCTACTCTCAAATTTTCAGAGATCACTGGATTTGGGCCTATTCAAAGCCTTCTGAAATTTGCCCCAGGCTTTATTTCCAACCTCAAGTCCTGACTTCCAGCTGCAGCCAAGCTGGTCTCCTCTTTTTCCATGAATCTGCATGGTACAGCTCCCTACCTACCTTCTCCCACCTTCCCCTTTATTTCCTCTGCTCCATTTATAGCACGTCACAGAATGTGCAAGAGTGCGTGTTAGTCAGCTTTCCTGATGCTAGGACAAAACATCTGACATCTACCACTTAAAGGAAGAGAGATTTAATTTGGCTCAGAGTTTGGGTTTCAGACTGTGGTTGGCTGGCTCCAAGGCAGAAACAGCCTCGTTGAAGGGCATGGCAGAAAGTTGGCAGTCAGGAATTAGAGCGAGATGCTGGGGAGGGAGGTGTACCCTCCACTCCTTCCAACCGGCCTCCACCTCCCGGGAGCACATTTAGCCATGTACTCATCTCCGGATCAAGTCCACTGAGGAGCACGGCACCCCCGTGATCCAGTCAGCTTCCACAGCCCACCTCTGAGCTTTCGGGGGACATTCTAGATCCAAACTAACAGCATGTCTTGTCAGAGGACCTGGGTTCTGTCCCCAGGTAGTTAGACGTGTGGTCTAGGTCTGGGTCGATTCTTTTCCCCGGAATCCCCGTTCCTCCATATGTCAGAGAAGAAGAGTGAACCAGAGACTTCAGGGTTTCTTGGGACTGGATCGTTGTGGTTATATGTTAGTGTTAGCTTTTTCCTCAGCTGCCTTGGGACATAGCCCCCCACCCCTTAAATATTTATGCAGCATATAAGAGTAGTAAGTCTCTTACCTTTTATTGTTTGGGATTGTAGTTAACCTTTTTTTTTTAATTCTATCTTCAACTACTTTTCAAAAGTGTGCCTGTAAACTGACAGGCGTCTTTGGTAGAGCTGGTTTCCTAGGATGTGTGAGGGCTAGTCAGTGGCTTCCTCCTTGTATCAAGAAGTTGAGATTCACAGAAGATTTTTCTTATTCCCTGTGTTGGGGAAATGGGATGTTTCCTGAAAATGAGGTGTATTTACCATTTGAGGGACTGAAAGAAGGATGCAGTCTCGCAGAGAAGGCCTTCCTGTCTAATAGGAAGCTGCCATGTCTGTGCTATAGGGGTTGGCCTTCCTCTACCAGGCTTCCAGGGTGCCTGTCTCCAGGTTTGGAGGGCTGAGGTGATGACATCATCTTTCACTGTGTGTTTTAGGGCCCTGTTTGATTATGACCGGACTCGGGACAGCTGCCTACCGAGCCAGGGGCTCAGCTTCTCTTATGGTGACATTCTGCATGTCATTAATGCCTCTGATGATGAGTGGTGGCAGGCAAGGCTGGTGACCCCCCATGGAGAGAGCGAGCAGATCGGTGTGATCCCCAGTAAGAAGAGGTGAGTTGTCATGATCATGAGAGAGACCTTCCCTGGCCTCTTGCAGGTGTCTATCTTGTTTTCCTGTTGTGCTGTAAGTCACTGGAGAACGGGTTATGTTCCTGATTGCGCCTTTTGGTAGAGAGTTGGTACTCAGGTTTTCATTCAGTGAGCCAGAGAGTGACTGCTGTGCCTGCTGCTGCTGCTAAGACCATGTGCCGGCAGCAACAGGACTTCTTTCCAACTCCCAAACAGGGTGGAAAAGAAAGAGCGAGCTCGATTGAAAACCGTGAAGTTCCATGCCAGGACGGGGATGATTGAGTCTAACAGGGTAAGTGGGGATTGACCCCTAAGGAAATCAGCCAGAATGTGAAGATGGGTGAGAGGCTTGGAGTTTGGTCTGATTTACGAGAGAACTGGGGAGCACAGACGAATGCCTTTTTTTTTTTTCCCAGGGGACTGGCTCTGTCCTGTGAGAAAATTGTCTATTTTTCAGAAAGCAAAGAGAGAGGGAGCACTTACAGTCTACAGTTAGTCTGGGCCCCTCTCCCTGGGTTACTGGCTATGGAAGATGTGTTGGAGTTGGCTGACTTACCTGGGAAAGATGCGACCACTCATGGGTATCTCTCTGGCTATACACCCTGCTGGAACTGTGGGTACCTCGAGCAGAACCTGGTATCATCTTGCCAGAATGTCCACTTCAGAGTTCCCACCTCCCTTCAGAATACATGAGGCAGGAGGGCTGTTCATTTACGCCTTTTCTTCTATGAGCTTCGCAGGCCAAAGAAATTCCGGAGCTGTAGAGGGAAGAGAGGCATGGAGTAGATGACTTTGTGTCTATCAGTGGCACCTTAGGGCATGTGTCCAGGAGGCTCCAGTGACCTTTGTTGTTTAGGAAGTGCCAGTGAATGCCGTGAGGCTGGACTTGGTAGAAACTTCTAACATCCCTACAACATTTTCCTGTAAACATAATTTTCCTCTTACATCAATTTTCATTTAATCTCATAGACTCCATTTGTGAGAGATGGTCTTTTATTTAGCTCACCATTGTCTCCATTTTAGTTTTTCTTGCATGCTTTAAAATCCATTGTTCTGTTTTTTTTCTTCTGTCCTTCCCCTCCATCTTCATGTTCTTTCACAGTCGATCAAAACGAAACGTAAAAAGAGTTTCCGCCTCTCTCGAAAGTTTCCATTTTACAAGAGCAAAGAAAACATGGCCCAGGAGTGCAGCATACAGGAACGTAAGTAGCAGCAGAGTCCAGAGAGCAGACTGTCCCAAGCCCCGCCCGCTTGTCCTCAGCTGTCCTTTCCCTCAGGAGAAGTTCGGGCGAGGGCATGAGCGCTTGCCTGCGCACACCTGCTTATTCACAGTTACTGTAGAAATTGGCCTGCGTCGGGAGATGTTGGGGCTTATTTGTCCAGCTCCTAACTTGGAATGAACTTGGGAGGTTCTGAGGTAGGACTGAGGTAGGACTCCAGGAAGTCCCTGGCACTGACATTGAAAAAGCCAGATGGAGCTCTGCTGTTGTGGTGAGGAGCGGTTGTTAGCCAGTGTCAGGTTTTTTTTCAAAAGAATAATGTCAAGGGACTGGATCTTGCTCCCCTGGCTCCTTCCTCTTGTGTTTTCTTTTCCTTAACATCACTCACCTATATCAGGAAAAGAGGCTTACTTTTCCCAGATCCCTGAAGATGGGGCTGTTTCCGGAATCCCACACATGTGCCTAAGCACACAGGGTACCCACAGAACTCACAACAGGCTCACTGTCACCCCATTGTGCCCGCAGAGCCAGTTTCTACAAGAAAGCCCTTCCCTGCATAAGGGACTTCATGTGGAAGCAGTATTGTTTAACATAGTTCAAATAAAGATTTATTAAAAAACACAAAGCTGACTTGGTAGGAAAAAAAAACTGTAATGCTGAGCTACATTAACTTTGAGAACCAACTTAATCCAGGATAACTCTTGTGACTCTGCCATATGCTTCAGATATTAACTGTTCTGACCCTAACCTAAACGTCAGGTCAGGCTTGATATTTTCTCATTTGTGTCATTGTGAATAGTAAACATCTTTCATTTACCAGCAACTTCTCTTGTCTTACATGGAGTGATCTTGCAGCCTGAAGCCTGAGGCTGTTGGAACTGGCAAGAGACTGCCTGGTTCTAATAGGAAATAGCCTTTGTTTAGGCCTGCCTGAGTGACACTCATGGTATGTGTGAGTTGTTGTCATCTGCCGTGTACCTGATCATCCTGGGGTCCCTCAGTGCCACGTGACAGAGAAAGTTGGTCTACTTCTAAGCAGTGTGAGGCCATCAGAAACAGAGGCCTGAGATGATGTCACCAGTTTACCAGATGAGTCCCAGAATCCCTATGGGAAGATGTCTCTGCTCAGTGGTCCAGCAGGGGCAGTGAGCGCCCATTGGATGACACAGATGAAACTTGCTACTGCCTGTTCTCTAAAAGTCCAGCTCATCAGAGCAGCTTTGGAAGCTATACCCTAGAGAGCAGGAAGCTTTACCTGAGAGATTTGGACAAAGTGAAGCAGTAGTGGGCAAAAGCTCCTCAAAGTGATAGTAATTGTCTCTGCCAGCCTGGCACACAGGGACATGTGTCTTTCGTGTACCCACAGAATGAAATGTGATTTCATGGGCAGAGCAAAGACATGTGCTCTACAACTATACATTTGGTCAAAGCAGGTACTCAAAGCCTTGGAGTGTCACCTGCTGTTTCCTGTGGGCCTATGGCTGTAGACTACCTCAGAAAGCTAGTCCACTCCAAGGCCCTCTGGCAGCAAACTGAGTAGCAGCAAGTCCAGGTATCTTATCTGACCTAGAATGTTCCTTCTGTAGCAAAGTTCTTCACTTCAATGTAGTTCTAGGTCTTCGTGGTGTTCCATACTTCTGTCACTAATGCTCACCTGCTTCTGTATTCTTCCTTCCCCTTGTCTTTTTTCTGTTTTTTTTCTCTTCTCCCTAATTCTCCTCCCACCTTCCCTTCCCCCCTCTGTCCTTGCTGTCTGTGAAATCAGGACTTCCCTGGGTTAAGTGACGATTATTATGGAGCAAAGAACCTGAGTAAGTGAAACTTACACACCATTAACTATATTTGTGGCGTGAATGGAGACAGTGGGGGTGAGGGTGGCGGGGACATGGGTGAGGTCGAAGGGTGATGGGAGGACAGTGTTTGTGAGAACCCCATTCCCATGGTAAGGGGAAGCACACATGACTCCAAATGTCACACTTTTGCCCTCGGTCCCTGGTACCCTAACAGGTCCCTAGCATTCGTGTCTGTGTTTACCTTCTGCATTTCCGAGTGGTAGGGCCCACGCCTGGTATTCTACCTTAGAAGTCAGGTGGACCCAAGTACAGCGCTGGGTAGAGCACTCAGCGAATGTCCATCCTGTGTTCAAGGGAAAGGTACCCACTGGTTGGATTTTTCTCTCAGGGACAACAGTCTAAAGAGCTGGGCTGAGGAGTCTAAAGAGCTGGCTGTTATAGTTCCCCTAACTAGGGGCAAGGGTGCAGTGAACCCCTTTACCCACCAAGCCCCTGGCCTAGCCCTGCAGACCCAGAGCAAGTAGGGGCTGAGCTGGCAGTGGGGGCCAAAGAAAACTTGGACCTCTCCATTTTCAAAAATAATCCCAGAGTGCAAACTGAAAGGACCTAGATGATGAGGGCTTAGCAGCTGACCCTGCTGCAGGCATGGGTAGAGATGTGGCCCCACCCACCAGATGGCTTCTGTCCACTCGTACTCTCCTTAAGTAAACCTTAAAGGCCGAAGGTAAAGGAGTGTCAGTGGGGATTGCTCAGGAACTAACCACAGGTGACACTTCAGCAGGTCCTTCCTAGGGGTGTGGGGCACAGCACATCATGGTCTGGAGCAGCGTGGTTTTGGCTGAAATGAGCAGCGTCTCTTCATAGTTTGTTGTGTCCATGTCTCATCTTCATCTGCCTGTTGCTGCAGGAGGGGTGGACTTTGTTTGTGCCCTCTGTGAAAATGGCTCTCTGCTCAAACTTTCTATGCCTATGCTCAAAGATGGGCAGATTCCAGCTCTTTGAGACAGGAGTGCTATCTTGTCCTCAAGATATTTGTTTTGGTTTGTTCTGTGTTTTGACATGTCTGTCTTAGGGTGAACGGAGGGGCATGCCTGATCACTGCTGAAGCCCAGCCCTCCTCAGGAGAGGTGGCAGAAGGGCTGCGGGGCCACAAAAGGACACTGGAAACTGCTCACCCCATTTAGCCCCATTTAGCGCTTAGCCTCTTAATTGTGGAGCATCACACGGTTCCATCCTTTGGAGTGGGGTCTTGGGAGGAAATTGACAAGCAGCATGGTCCCAATACTTCTCTCTGCAACTGTCCCTGCCTGTTCTTTCCTGCCATTAGCCTTGGGAGCTGCATTTTGAGATAGGGTTTGGAAATAATGAAGAGCGCTGCTGAAGGAAGTGAGGCTTCTATTGCTAAGGGAGGGAGTTGGCAGCTGCAAGGGCTGTGGGGACAAGTAGGAGGTAGCCAGGGCATCAGGATTGGAGCTGTGCCTCCCAGTTGGTGGCTTAGATGTGGCAGGCCTCTCGTGGCCTGACTTAGTTGACAGCTCAGTGTCTCCTGGAGCATTTGAGTTTTGTGCTGCATGTGACCTCTCAGTGGTGTGTTCTGAATTGGAGTCTCTTTCTTGTTGGCTTGCAGAGGGAGTGACATCCAACACCAGTGACAGCGAAAGCAGTTCCAGTAAGTGTGTGTCATTCCCCCATGTCACGTAGCTCTGCCATGTGTCTCAGCCATCCTCATTCCTGTGTTGCATGGCTGCCATTCCTGCTCAAAGGCTGCTGCTCCTTTTGGCCATGTGCACTTTGAGACCCTGGAAATGCTGTGGCCAGTTCTTTGTCCCTGTGGGATGACTTTGTCCCATAGATTAGAGGAGAGTATAAGCCCTCTAGTTCTCAGTAGGACCTGACCTGAAAGCATCCCTGTGCCCTAGGAAGGGTGAACTACCAATGAGCAGATCCCTGCCATGGGCACTGTGGGCTGAAGATGCTGCCAGCTTTGCAGATTTGTCCAGACCAACAGCAACATAGCTCCTATGGGACACTGTTCAAAGCCTGCTTTTCTGGGTTGCTAGGACCTGGTTGTCTTTGGTGGCATTCTCTGATTTGGAAGGAAATCACCCAGTTTTCCTTTAGGGCCCTTGAGTAGACCAGAGAAGTCACAACTCAAACTTTGTGACCTTATTGGGGACGTTGGCCTTTCAGGAGCTGTGGTGGCTAAAGACCTTGAACAATCTGCCTAGGAGTTAGGCTCAGAACAAACCTTTTATCAAGCATCCTGGGGCTCGATGCAGATATCACTCACTGCCTTCCCTCGTATTACAGTCAGTTACTTTGGGGCCTCCAAGTTCCCAGTGCCCAGTGGCTGGGCGACTCTTAGGAAAATCTCATCATTGCCAGGCTACATGGTGCCAGGCTACATGGAGCTCCACCATGAGGAAAGAGCAGGCTCAGCATTGCTCTTAAAGAGCACTGGGGACCTGGTCTGACCATGCACCACTTTTTTGGATACTTCTTGGGGGAGGGTCTGCAGACCCACCCTTAAAAAGGCGAACTTTTGTAGGCCTGCATGAGTGCTTTGACTCCTACCTGTAGGTAAAAGGACTTGGACAAGTGTGTGTCTCTCCAAAGCAAGGGAGCCACTGAGTATAACTGACTGTTACCTGTAAGAACAGTTGCTAAAAAAATTGGAGTAGTTTTAGGAAAGGCTTCTTGGCTGCAGGGCCTTGGCTCTCAGCTCAGTAGTATTCTGCTGACTGAGAACTGCTGACCCCTACCTGGCCATGGGGCTTCTTTGCTAGTGGAGAGCAGACAGGACCAACAGAAACCACTTGAGGAGGCAATTTTACAGCATGGGTGCGGTGAAGTGAATGCTGTACAAAGGGAGGCAGATCATGAAGTGCTAACCTGTCTCCCTTTTTTGTTGTAGAAGGACAAGAGGATGCTATTTTGTCATATGAACCAGTGACACGGCAAGAAAGTAAGCCACCTCCTGAGTCTTGCTTTTGTGCCAGTCTCCCCGTGGCAGTGGCAGGCTCCACAGTGGGCGGCTCTGGAGGGGCTGGGAGAGGGAAATTAGCTTACTGTGAATCTAGCCCTGGCTGCTGGCGGCAAGGGTAGATCTGCTTTAGTGGTGTTGCTGCCACTAAAAGAGGCCTAGTCCCTCCTTACAACAGCTGCTCTGCAATACCCTTGCTGAGCGGCTGGTGTCCATGCAGAGATTTCCTGAATCCATTGGAAGAGGAGATGTTTCAGGCACACTTGCCTGGGACTTAGATATTCTTAAATTAAAGGCTCTATGTAGTCAAAAGGCAGATAGTGGCCATGGGTGCTTCCCCATCTTGAGTGGTGGCTCCAAAGCCTCCATGTTCTAGCCAGACTTGGAGGGGGGGGTCAGGCTTCCGGCGGGGCCTCTGTTCACTGTCTCCATATTCTGTCTTTCCAGTTCACTACGCAAGGCCTGTGATCATTTTGGGCCCAATGAAGGACCGAGTCAATGATGATCTGATCTCTGAGTTCCCGCATAAATTTGGATCCTGTGTGCCACGTAAGAGCCCAGCCAGGCCCAAAGGAGTGAGGCTTGTTTCCTGGGGATTGCTGCTTTTTTGTGGAAAGGGTGTAGGATCAGGTTCTAGGGCTCTTTGGGAACAAGATGCATCTGATGGGCTGAAGAGAGTTGGTAGCAATAAATTTCCCCAAAATTGATAAGGTCAGGAAAGCCATGATTTGATGAACCATTTATTAGTTTTATTGAATCCCATGCCAAATTTCACCCCCTCTACCAGCCCTGGCTCAGGAAACCCCACCTTTGTAGTCTAGTTTAAACTAAAGCACACATATCACACCCCTATCCCAAATCTCCTGGAGGTTGGAAGAGAAGCAGGTAAGACGAACTTCTTTCCAAATGCTCCCTCCACCCCCACCCACACATACTCATCTGAAAAATTATTAGAATGGCTTTGTGACTCTCCCAGGTGCGGGAGGATCAAGTGGACTTTTGTGGCCCGGCACAGATCACTCACTGCCTTCAGGCCATAAAATGTTTCCTTTTTTCCTTCAGACACCACCCGGCCCCGGCGTGATAACGAGGTAGATGGGCAGGACTACCACTTTGTGGTGTCCCGAGAGCAGATGGAGAAGGATATCCAGGACAACAAATTCATTGAGGCAGGCCAGTTCAATGACAACCTCTATGGGACCAGCATCCAGTCAGTGCGGGCAGTGGCAGAGCGGGTAAGCAGAGGAGGCAGCCTGCTACCTGTGCACTTCAGAGGGAAGGCAGAAACACTCAAACCAGGTGTCACTTGTGTCCTCATCCTTCCACCACAGGGGCTACTAAGTGGCACTGTTGACTAAAGCCATGGCAGTTCTGCCAGTTACCAGCCTCTCGGTAAAGGTATCTCTCTCCTTCATGAAACTCACACTGGAGCATCACCCACCAAGGAATAGAGACCCACCCCCAGGCAGATATGGCCTTTTCTCAGTAGTGGAAGCCAAAAATGTGGCCTGATGACCTCAGGGAGAGGATCTTCTGGGCCACTCTGCGAGGAGGCCCTGCCTGCCCCCCCAACCACCCCCATGCCTCTATGGATGTTTGGAATGCCCCTTGGGGTTGGGTGGATAGGGTGTGGTGGGCTGATACAAATCTGCTTTTTCAGGGCAAACATTGCATCTTAGATGTTTCCGGCAATGCTATCAAGAGACTGCAGCAAGCACAACTTTACCCCATTGCCATTTTCATCAAGCCTAAGTCCATTGAAACACTTATGTAAGTGTTTGCTGAGACTCCAGGAAGACTAGCTAGGATGGGACCCTGAAAAGGAAACTACAGTAGTGATGTGTTGGGCAGGGGAGGTGTCTTAGTTACTTTGCCTGTTGCTAAGACAAAATACCTGACTCCCAAAGTTAGAGGAGGAAAGGTTTTTTTGGCTCATTTTGTAAAGGTTTCAGCCCATAGTTGGCTGGCTCCAAGGCAGGGTGGAATAGCAGAAGGGGATCGCAGAGGAGAAAAACAGTTCATGGTAAAGTAGACAGGTGAGAGCACATTAGCCCTCTTTCTGTCCCTTGTATTTTATGCAGGCTACCAGTCCTATGGCGGGTGTAGCACTCACACCCTTAATCCTAACCAGAACTGTGCCAAACCAGTCATGGATTGATTTAGTTATTACACACCCTTGATCCCAGCACCACACACTCTGAATCCAGTCACCTCTAAAAAGCACCCCCATGACTGCATGAGGCTTTGGGGGGACACCTAGACACAAACCATGACAGGAGGGAAAAGTGAAAGCTTGAAGGAAACCATGCCGCAGCACTAACCGCCCACTGCTCCTTCTGTTTTGAGTACCTGGAAGATTTGAGGAAGAAGTTAGCCACAGGCCACTCTGAGAAAATAGTTGAGCAGGGAACCTAGAACAATTGTTTATGTTAATCAAAACCTGTAGGATCTCTGTTGGAACTGTTTTTCTCTGTGTTGTTGGCAGGGAAATGAACCGACGGCAGACATATGAACAAGCAAATAAGATCTATGACAAAGCCATGAAACTGGAGCAGGAGTTTGGAGAATACTTTACAGGTAAGAAGCCCTGCTGCCCAGCCTCAGGTTCTGTGGGAACTAGCCAGACACTGCTCCTGAAAATGTCTCAGAGAGCTCTAGACAGAGTTGAGCAAGCTTGCCCAGCATTTCTGGATGCTTTGGAGCTGTAGAGATCAAGCCTTTCGAAGGTACTCAGATTCCTACCCTTCAGCGATAGCTGTTTAGCCAGTTTACAGTGTGAACTGCTCACCAAATGCTGCTTTGGATTGTTGGTTTGTTCTTTCTGTCTTCTGGTCCCTCCTAGATTGTGGGGACCTCTATTACTTTGTTTCCCTTGTCTCCAGCTTTTCTTCCCATACTGCCTTGCATGCTTTAGGTGCTGAATAAACGTTTGTTAATGATGATCTTTTGGCTTGGTGTTCAAGTTGTCTGTCAGCGTGTGTTCAAAAGTGTGTGTGTGTGTGTGTGTGTGTGTGTGTGTGTCTGTGTGTGTTTTATATGCTCCCCTTCTTTGAAAGGTCAGCCTCTAAAATGTTGGGAAGGTTCCTATGTGATCGTCCCTCACCTTTTAAAGTACAGTGATGTATTATGTGTGTGTGTGCAGGGCAGTTCGAATAAATACTCACTGGTGGTACTGATAGACTGACTGGTGAAGAATTCAGAAATGTCCTCACATACCTTGGGTCTTTGGAGCTCCCTTTAACACCAGCATCCATGTCCTTGATTGTTGGTCCAGCCTCTGACACAGAGCAGCTGTGACAGCCCCAGGAGCACTGCCTCTTGCCAAAAAACTGTGGCTTTCTGCTCTTTCTCTGGATAACTGGGATTTTCCCAATCTTTGAGTGAAGCTGTTTTAGAATCAATCACAAGCTGCTAGCCTTGTGGCAGCCAAGAGCAACATGAGTTGCAGTGTCAGGCATGTAGTGGATACTCAGTAAATATCTTTTGAATAAACACATTTTCCTGTTTGCTACTGCTTGACCTCACTGTCTCAGAGAGGGGCTTCTACCCAGCTCCCCTCCTACCCTGAACTCAGAAAGCCAACTAGTGAAAGCAAAGCTAAACCTGAACTTTTGTGAGCATCCAACATGGCTGGGGGGCATTGTAGGCCTGTGGGGAGAGGCAGGATGGCTGGGGTTTGGGGGATATGCTGTGGACCACAGTAATAATTTTGTTTTCCTCTTCACTTTAGCCATTGTACAGGGTGACTCACTGGAAGAGATTTATAACAAAATCAAACAAATCATTGAGGACCAGTCTGGGCACTACATTTGGGTCCCATCCCCTGAAAAACTCTGAAGAATCCCCTCCAGCCATTCTCTTGTGAACAGAAGAAATCAAGTCCCTCTTCCCTCCTCCCTCTTCATTCCTATCCCTGTGGGGAGAACAAATGACTACTGTTCGTATCCCCTTTTTTAGATATGTCAAAAATTGAGTTTTCTAGTCCTGTTCTTTCTTTTTTTTTTAATTTTGGTTTTGTTTTAGTTTATTTTGGGGGATGATGCCATCTCACTCATCATGTGACTGTGCCCATTCCTGCATGGACCTTTCCCAAGCGCTAGCACAGGTGCAAATCCATCAGAGCCATTGTTTTAATAAAAACCAAGCAGAAGCGAAGAGAAGCGAGGAGGACTGATGGAAAGACAGACTCTGGACAGCTGCACGGCTTGTGAAGTGAGCTAAATGCACCATGTGATGATGTGCTCCTGGGCATTTCTACCCACCTGTACTACTGTCTTGCAGCTCAGAATGGTGCAACGTAATGGCAACAGAAAGTATCTTATTTAT